GAGAGAGAGAGAGAGAGAGAGAGAGAGAAGAATGGGGTGGGGGGTGGGGGGGATCTAGATACACAGAGGAGGAAGGATAAAGGTGACTGATTAAGGATGGAGCCAGGGAGAGGGAAATAAGCTAGGATAATTCCCAATCTCCTGCTTTCAGAGTCTTGGTAGCGCTTGTAGTACCCATGTAATATAATAGGTAAAACAAGGGGAAGGGACTATCTTATACTGTGTATGTATGATGTCTGTGGGATGCTTGGATGGAGCAGCACAGTAAGGAGCTAGATATACTGGTCTGAAACTCAGAGAGCTCTGGGCTAGTGATTCAGATCTGGATGGAGTGAAATCCAAGAGTGAGGGATAAGATCACCTGGGGAGAAGATACAGTGAAAGAAGAGGCGGGCACATCAACATTTAAGGGTAGTGGAGGAAGAGGATTCCAAAAGAGCCTGAGAAAGACCAGCCAGAGTAGGAGAGAAGTGTCAAAGGTTTTCAAGAAGAATCAATACGAAGTAAGTTCTCTTTTCTATTAATCTCTACTACAAAACAGCAGCAAGTACTCCTACTATAAGACTGCTGGTAGAAGCTTACTTTTCTTGAGATGCTGTGTGCTATAAGGGCTAGGGAACTAGTCAATAGGCAGTTGGCTTTAGAGAGAAAGCCAGATTGATCATCCATGCAACTTGGATGAAGGACCAAGAGTTTAAATCAGAGGATCAATACTGATTACCCATTTATTAGAGTGTGGGAACTTAAAAAAAAAAAAAAAACAACCTATGCCCAGACTCCACTCCTGGAAATCTGACTAAACCTACAAGGGAATATCAGGTCACTGCCACTAGGCAAATTACAGTTGATCCTTGAATAACTTGAGTTTGAAATGTGCAGGTCCACTTACATCCAGTTTTTTCAATATAGAGTTGGCCCTCCATATCCCCAGGTTTTGAATCTGCAGGGCTAACTGCATTGTCCTATGACTTTTTTTTTTTTTTTTAGCTGAGCCATCCTGCCACTTGTTGGCAGCTCAGCTCGGGCCTGGAATCGAACCGGCGACCCTGTTGCTCAGGGATCGCACTCTTGAGCATGCTCTTAACTAATTGAGCCACTCGGCCAGCCCGTTCTATGACATTTTATATAAGGGACATGAGCATCTCAAATTTGGGTATCTGCGGAGGGGGGTCCTGGAACCAATCCCCTGTGTATACCAAGGGACAACTGTACTTTGGACTCACAGCAATACCATCAAGGTAAAAGAGGAGAAAAGTAATCACAAAATAGGTTTGCAATCTGATCATTAGATTTATGATCTTGTTTTCCAAATTAAGTCTCGAGTCCCAGGTTCCTGTCGTTTTTTTAGAGGTGATCCTAACACACTTAAGTTTTAGATATTTAAAACCACTTTTCTCTCACTTGTTTCCTAACAGGAGAGAGTGAAAGTAAAGGAACGTGCCTGTTGGCAAATGGTGACAAATCTTTGAGAATAAATAGAAAATGCAGTGTCATCAGAGCCCCTCATCTCAGCACAGGGTCCACTGGAAGACGTCACAACCAGCCCCACTTCTTGGTAAAAGACATCTAGGGGTAGTTAGAGAACAAGATGTACAGGAGCTGTTTTCCTACAGGCTTGTTTGCCTCTTTCTGGCTTACAATGTGGTCCAAAGGTCTTACTTAAACAGTGAGACAGAACTGTGCAAACTAAGTACTCCTCTCTGGCTTGAAAGCATAATATGACCAGCCTTTCCCCTCTACAAGCTACCTCAAACTGAGGATGGTCCCCTCATGCACTAAGTTTGACATTGGGAGATCTATAGATTTGACCAGAATAGATTTGACCAGAATCTATAAGAACAGATGGAAACTGTAGTTCCACTGAGATTTCTTACCTCTGGTTAGGAGAGGCCACCATTAGCTGTCCAACTCTCTTCTTCGGTCTGCTTAGCTGAGGTGATGGGATTTCCCCTTTGAGAGCAAGGACTGAAGGAAGCAGACTGGCCTATAAAAGGGCAAGTGAGCACACTGTAGCCACAATAGGTTTAAAGGGTCTTAAAAAACATCAATACTTTTATTGATAGTGGAATTTTCTTACACTGAACACTACTAGAAATAAGTGGGTCCAGAAACCTTGATGATATACTTTTATTCCTTGAAAGTGATTCTCACAGGGTTTAATTTATGCCTCAGCAGGATGTTTCTTAATGACTTGAGGGTATACTATGGATGTGCAAAGTTTTCTTCTGCCTCCACTAAAATCTCAAAATCAGTACTGGCTGCCACAACAATGGGCTTTTGATTCCATGTGAGAACCAATGGTAGGGGTCTCTCAAACCTCAGCAATGTAAACATTCTATCTAGTGGCTTCCAGTATTCTCATACCATATGTTCTCATTCACAAGAAAAAGAAGAAAATCTGTGTGATAACTAGGAGACTCTTTTGAGTTCGCTTATGTTCAATTTCATTTTCAGATGAGGAAAGTGAAGCCCAGAAATGAGAAATTACTTCCTAAGGTCATATAGCTTCAAGTGGCAGAAATGAAAATAAAATTTAGGCCCTGACTATTACTTCACTGTACCCATGCTGCCTCCACCCCAAATCCCTTGTAATTTTGAAAGTAATTAAGTTCTTACCTGAGCTAAGTTTAATCCAAGGTTCAGGTTGGTAAAAAGCAGTAAAGTAATGCCAGGAAGAGGCAAGACAGAGGAAGAAGAGATTGTAGCAGGCAAAATGGGGTGAGGAATAGACTACTGGGATCCAAATAGAAAGAAAAGAAGGCAGTGCTGGTAAGAGGGCAGGGAAGAGGGTATTCTAAATAACTACCAACTGCACAGCTCCTGTTTCTTCCTAATCCTCCTAGAAATTTCTCGTAATTGCCTCCTCATTGGTTCTAGTTTCTGAGCTAAAATGTTTCATTCTGTTGTCCTCAAGGCGCAGAAGATAGGGTAAAGGGCTCTTCCAGATAATTCAAATGTATTGTAGACAGTTAAAACAGAACAAAACTTACCTTTTTGTCCCACTGAATAATTTACTTAATATCATCTCTCATTAATATATTTCATCAAGAGTAGTTTCATTCATTTCACTAATATTAGGTGATTTTAAAAAAATTTTTTATATATTATTGGTAAGTGGAAACAGCAAGATAGGTAGGTGATCCAAGGGTCCTTATTTCCCCCTCTGGGCAAGGGGATATCTTGAGAACACTTGATGTGGTTATCAAGCAATACAAAGGCAGTAGCTTCAACACCAGTGATACTTCCCAAATACATTCAAAATAGAAAATAAGAAATGAGCTTAAAGAAGCTCTTTCATGTGTAAGATGATATGGAAGACAAAAGACCCAGGTATATCTAACACAGAACAAACATGGTGTGTGTCATCTAGTGGTAGCTCTAGGAGCAGAGAAGATTAAGAACTCCTGTTGGTATGAGGGCAGAAAAGTGCTGCTTGTATGGTTCTGCCCCTAGTTACTATTTTTCTGTGCACCCTTCCTTTGCCTTGATATGTGCTTTGGCTTCTCTATCAGCCTTAAACGTTTTCTTGTTTTCTTTTTTAGACTGCCTATACATAAGACCGGGAAATTCAACTATATTAAAACATTAACAAGTTGATGACTGTTCTTTTCAATGGGATGGTTCTCCCTTTTCTATTGTATCAGATTCTTGGCAAAGCCTATGGCTTGGCCAAAGCAATCTATTCCAGTGTTCCTGTGTTTAGCTTATTACACATATTGGCTCTTCATACTTGTGTCCATGGAACTAAGCCCAGAATTAGTCACATGTTTATAAACATTTCTCAGCTGATTCAACAATATAACAGAATTACAGGAGTCACCCCCGCTCCCTCCTATGTCCCAACCCAAACAAAGCGTAGATCACCTAAAACCAAAATATTTACATAAAAAAGTCAGGAAGCACAAAAGGAAACTGAAGTTGATGACCTGGGTGTCCCTAAGTTTGACCTGAGTGTCCCTAAGTGTCATCTGATTGAAATCCCATTGTTCTTATTGACATACTCATGATCCATAAAGAATTAAACCTATCTATGGCCTATCTGCTAATGTCAGGTAAGACACATTGCAGGGGCTTGAAACTTTATCATTTATAAAATGATAAGAGAAAGAGAATAAGGAATGTTTAACAAATAGATAACTAGTCTTAAAAGTGCTTTTTCAAGGTAGTCTAAGAATGGACTCTAAGTGTAAAATGTGAGAAGCCCAACCTGGTTCAATATGATTGTGGACTGGGTGGTACCTGCATGACCACTGAAAGGATCACACCCCACTTCTAAACACTGTTCATCTTTTTATTGAATATTCTGGTAAATATTTCACATTAATACAGGCTACATTAAGTAGAGCCACTATATGACAAGAAATTTACTCAGCTTTTTTCCTTTTAAGTATGTAAACAACTGTACATGTATTTACCACCCTAAAAGGTTGAAACATGTAATCCTCTAATTCCCTTCTGCATACAAGTAGCATTCAGTATGTTTAGCCAAAAGCACTAAGTTCAAAATGGCTAAACTAACCAGAGAACATAATCAGATGGATAGGAAATCACTTTTTTCTTATACAATGGGCAATCAAATTTCCATTGCTAAAGCCTTAGAGAAAATTTCTTAGTTAGGCACATAAAAAAAAAAAAAAATCCCCAGGGTTCTTCCAAGGTCATAGGTTTCTCAAGGCTAAAGAGTAAGACCTTCTAACT